GCAGGTCTCGTGTTCATTAAAATGCCCGACTTTTCGAAAATTTTAAAAAGTTAAAAATTTTTGGCGTCTTTCTGCAACTACAATTGTAAAGATACATTTTTTCCTTTTCTTAATGAAATGTGTTCATCAAACACAGATCTTCAGATAAGATTATGTTAAAATTTTTGAAAATATAAGTATTTTTTGTGTCGCCCGCTCCGAATTCACTGCGCTTTGTGATTATAATAGAAGTAATTCCAGGCAGTTGGATGCTACGTAAGTTAGAATTTGTTTATTATTTCCTATTTCTTAGTTCGTTTCTTACATTTGAGCTTTTCTTATACGTTTACATATTAGTCTTTTAGAAATTACTGAACACCTATTTTAAATTGCGTCCTTTAATTGCGTAATTGTAACCGTGTCGTAAATTATATGGGTTCTTAGGCTTCCACGGCCGGAGTAAATGCATTCTTGGCTATCCGGGATGAGCTGCGTCTCGGTCAATGTTACTGACGTTTTGGCTATCTTGCTGTGGCCTTCTTCAGACCTATACTACTCGACTCCAGCAGTATAGCTCTGAAGAAGGCCACAACAACATGGCCGAAACGTCAGTAACATTGACCGAGAAGCGGCTCATCCCGGATAACCAAGAATGTATGTGTCGTAAATTGCGCCCTTTAATTGCGTTAAATGTGAAAACGAATAGATGATTTTACTTTGCGTAATATGATGTAGGTATGAAGAGTATGCGTGTAAAAACTGAGTAATTTTGATGAACCCCGCCCCAGACCCCGCCCAGGACCCCGCCCAGACCCCGCCCAGGACCCCGCGCCCCCAGAGCCCCGCCCCAGACCGCCCCAGAGCCCCGCCCCAGACCCCGCCTCCCCTACCTTCCGCTCCTTCCGACGCTGGGTGGCAGTTCGCTCGCGCGCGCAGCATCTCGTCTCTCCGCCGCAGACCTCGCCGCAACTTCCGTCATCCACGCAACCTCTCTCACCTCCTATTTCTCTGGTCTCCCAGCGGAAGCTGCCATTAGTTCCGCAGACCTCGCACTCCATCACCCCTTCACAAACATCCTCCCCCCGGCACGCGCAAAACTCGGAACTCAGTGCTGCTCGCGAGCAATACTGTCTTCGTGTCGTGATGGCTTTTGTGCTCTCCAGATGATATTTTTTTCCGATGGAAAGAACACACCACATGTAATTATTTTTCCCAGAAATCTTCAATCAAAGTCCCGAAGAAGGTGATCGATTTCTGTTCTTTCCTGAACAAAAATTGATGTCTCGTATATTTGGGAAAGTACTCCTTTCATTTCCATTGTTTTTTGACAATAAGCTTTGTCTTTTGAGAATATGTTGCTTTTTTTCCTTTCTTCGTCACTTGAAAAACTACAGTATATACTAATACATTGAGACCGATCGCTGAAGCAGTTCCTGACTTATGCACTTGCGTATGTGTGATCACTTTTATCTAATGAAGATGAATAAGCAGGTGCTTTAGATAAAGGTTACAAACTTTCTAGGGCATGTAGATGATTGGTCGCGTTTTGTTAATTAACGTGTTTCAAGAAAATATGCTATAACGGAGTTGGCGGCTTATTAGAGGCAACTCACCTTAACTGGTTGTTTGGAAATAACAGGAAATATGCTAGACCAATATAATGCAAGAAAATGTTTCGCCGGTTTGCATAAAGTACATATAAAAATGTGTAGTTTTTCCATTCAAATGTCAAGAAAATCCATATTTTATTTTTTCCTTATTTTTGTATATTTTATTTTTAAGTAAAATGTATAAAAATAATTTAATGCATAACTTATATAAGAATGACCAAGCAAAGTTCTCACTTTTATAAGCCCCTATATCATTTACCCCACATTTATCTCGCATTTATAATCATCTGCAGTAGCCGTTCTGTTTCAAGATTACAACCTTAAAATGACTATACTGTGGAACTACGAAACAGGTCACGTTTGAACTCAAACATTTTTTGCCTTCCAGGTTCAATATTTTTTCTCAAAGCATGACATTTCGAATAAACGCGAAGACGCCTGCATTAAATTAATAAAAGAATCGACATTCCTCGTCACGTGCGGGCTTCGGCGCAGCAGGTGCGCGTGGCCCGAAACAGAAATCGAGCGGGTAGCCACAGCGGGGAGCGGGCGGCGGGGGCGGGCCGGGGGGGGTAGAGGCGCTTCCAGGGAATGCGCCCGCCTTGCACCACTTGCCCCTGTTCCCGCGAGCGGCAAGGCGCCCCCCCCACCCCGCCCTTGACCCGCACTGCTTCCCTGCGGCCACACTGACATCGCCCTGCCCGCCCCGGCCCGGCCCGGCCCTGCCTGCTGTTTGTTTCGCCTTAGTGGCGGTTCGAGGAACAGCCCGCGCTCCCAGAATTTCAGCTCTTTCACTGGGGAAGGGCTTCGTACAAGGCCTGTTGGCGGAGCATTCTTGTCCTTGTGCCCCTCCACTTCCTCTCTCTGTGAGAGGTTTATCATGAGCAGAAATTAAATACTCAATGAAAACATCGCCAAGAAATATATTTTGGTAACTATTTTAAAATGCGGTTTCACCGTTTTTTTTTAAGAAAAAAGTAAATAGGCAAATATCTTGCTTGTGTAGGAAATAAAACGCAATAAATATTACAAAATTAAGATTATACTCAAGTACAACATTATACACAAGTCTGGACAATAAAAGCTGATTTTACTTAGTTACTCTGGTTCCGTGAAGTTGGAAGGCATGTAATAAATAAATAAATTCAATATACTCTGTTTCTTAATGAAATGTACCATAAAATATCAAGTGCGCTAAAGGGAATAATGTCTTACATAAGAGACACCTAAAGAGTATTAATACCATCTGATAATTTTCCTTTAAAGGAGCCAGAAAACTGTAAAAACACTCAATGCATGTACTTCTCATACTGCGTTATTCCTAAAAAAAATATTCTGGAATACTTGCTTTCGGATGCAAACAAGCCAAGGAAATGAACAATATGCCTGGAAAATTATGAGAATACTAACAAAAGTATTTATACAAAGAAAAGTGGGCTTGTTGATATAAGAAAAATGTTGGCATTTAAGTAAAAAATCTAATTTTAAAATTTAAAGTTTTCTAATGAATGTGGATTTGGGCATGCATTTCATTCGCGAGTAATTCTGTACAGCCCTCAGAGGTTTCTACCACTGATGGAGAAAATGTTAGCTGGTTGTTTCGGTTAAGCCTATTTTCGAAGAAAAGACTTCATACTCTGAATTCGTGTTCGGTTAAAACCAAGGAGCTTTCTTTGGAGTGTCCGAACTTTAGATGAACCCTTTCACGCTAACGACATCCAATTCATATAATGACTCACGCTTCTTTAGACATACTTTAAAAGCCCTTAAGTTAAAGAGACTGGGGAGCGAAAGGGTTTCCTTTAGCGTCTTTCAGAGGAGGTGAAAGTGCATTAGAGCAAAAAGAAATTAAAAAGTGTTGAAGTACTGGTGACACGCAAGACGCTCAAATTCAAAATATTTTATGCTTTCAGGATGCAAGAAAGAAAGGGAATTTTAAAAGCCGTCCAAGAAAAACCATAGAAGCAGCAGAGCTTACAAAGTTGAAATTCGCTACTGCTGTAGTGATAAAGATTCAGTTTAGAAAGTTTTACTTGTTAAATATGGTACAATTCTTTTGCTAGAAAGTTTCATTCGAAGTTGAAAAACCGTTGTATTGGAAAGTAATAGTGACTGCTTAAGTTTGTATTACCCAATTTATGTAAAATAAATTGTGCGAATAAGAGATACGGGCAACACCTTGCGTAACCTCTTTTGCGATAAACGATAGAGAAAGTTTCCAAGTTTCAGTCGGAATAAGGATTGGAAAAGTTTCATATCGAATGACCTTAAATAATGTAATTCTATCTCTTGAAAAGTATAATTAACTCTCGTTTCCTGAAAATAAAATTTTCCGCACAGTTATTTTAATTGTAACAAACAGCATTAATGTAATGATGTAGTACGCATCTTGTAGTAAGAAACTTATTAGTAATGTTAAGATTATCTAATTTTTCTCCCACACACAAAAGCTTGAGCTAAATTTATGTTATTTTATTTTTTCGACAACCGAATATTTCTAGTAAGTACTAATATTTTTATACAAGCACGCCAACTTGTCACGGACTGTAATTGGAATACTCAACGTAAATAATGTGGAAAGGAATGCTGCAGTACAAATATATGATAAATGGTAGAAAAATTGGATAATAAATTGGATAGTGAAAAACTGTTCATAAATTTACAGCAATTGCAATGTCTCCGGTGATTTTCTGCTACATCCGAAAAAAGATAAAAAAGCACAAGGCGCAGCAGCCAGTAAGACGAGAAACATCAGAAGCCAAATCTAATACAAAAAAACTAAGTAATCCAAAATCAGTTTTTCCACACCATCACGAATTCCTCATGATACATCTCCAACGTTCAACTCCATAAAGAATTTCAGCTAGAACCAACATTTTAGTATCCACCCACTTCTTTCAAAATATCCCAAATGTACCCAACCTAACCCCGCTGAGACTCTACCAAAATCCCATACACAGACACCGCATCAAGAATAAATTTCCTTTCCATACATTTCTAAATAAATTCTCAGATCTCTAACCAAAGTAGAGATATTATATAAAGATACCTTTACTACCCTAGTAATAATGTAAGTTGTATTTTAAGATTATTAGTAAGATTATTTTAAGTTAATTATAAGTAGATATTAGCAATTATAACAAATGTAGAGTTTATTTAACACTGATCTTTGTATTGTCATATCCAAATGAAAATAAATAAAATTAAAGTTAAAAAAATGTTTGATTCCAGGCTAACTCTTCTTTGAAAGCCAAACATCACTTCCAACAACCAAAGTATTTCTGCTCGATTAAATACCGTTTCTTTTCTCCATACGTGGAGCATGCAGCCCCAGCCAGAGGTGGCCAGCGAGCGCTCCGCTCATTGGCCCAGACGCGTGCCGGGGGGGGGGGCAGAGGGGGGTGCACTTACCTTCTCCCCGCGCTCCGTCTCCACGGCTCGCTGCGCCGCCGCGTCGCACTTGTTCCCCGCCAGCACCTTCACCACGTCGGGCGCCGCGTTCTGCAACGCACCAACACACTCCAGATAGAACGCAGCAGCGAGGGCCTCACGAACAGAATGCTCTCTCCGTTGTCCAACTCCACAAAGAGCTACACATCACGTATCATCAAACACTTTGCTACACCCACAAATAACTTCTATTCCAACATCAAAATAGTAAATTATTCGACACACTGTAGCCTGTCCATGTTAAATTACTTATCAAAACGAATTAAAAAACATATTTGCTTTGGAAGCCTTTCTAAATAATTATTTTTAATAATTGATAAAAGTAGAAGCTCTTGCGGTTACATCACGAGTAATGTAATTGCGATACGTATAATGTTATAGTGTAGCTGGCCACCAACATATGAGAACGTTTAGTACTACAATATGTTAATTTTATACCATTTTTATTTATATTTTCTATTTAAGTAATAGATTAAATAAAATTCATTTCTCGGGAGAACTATCGTCTGAAGTTTGTAATTTAAGATTCATATTGATGAAATGTTTGTTCGAGATTTCGGTAATTCATTTTCACCATGCTAACTGTTATCCACAATAGCCAAATACCATTTATTCCTTATTTAACAATAGAGTGGTTTGATATTTTAAACTGTAATTTCTTTGGTTTCAGAAACAGAATGTGAACTAAAAATAAAATGACATGTACCCATAGATTTTTGCATTGAGAATCATTTCAAATAATTTGCATGAGTATAATTAAAGATGTAATCACGTTAAAAACGTGAACGTCACGTTTTCATGTTTTGTTTTTTTGTTTTTTCTTCTTGTATCAGACAACTGATGATGATGGCTAAGCCATCGAAAG